GATCACTTGAGCCCAAGAGTTTGAGACCACCCTAGGCAACATAGTGAGACCTGCTATCTACACAAAATTTTTAAAAATAGCTGGGCTTGGTGCCTGTAGTCCTAGTTACTCGACAGGCTGACATTGGAGGGTCGCTTTGAGCCCAGGAGGTTGAGGCTGCAGTGAGCGGTGATCTCGCCCACTGTACTCCAGCCTGGCGACAGAGTGAGATCCTATCTCCAAAAACAATTTAGGAAAAGCTGAGTAGATGGATGTCCTGGTGGCATCATAGGTCCTCGGTCCCCTCCCAGATCTGTGACCCTGGACAGGTGACTTTTCCTCTGGACCTCAGTGTCCTCATCTGAATGAAAAAAGGCGGTGGGGAGGCAGATCTTCGAGTCTAAGCAGTGTAGAAGCCGCATCTGAAAAGCCATACTCAGGGCTCCAAGTCCAGCACACAGTCCCAGCAGGGCCCGACGGGGCGGCCAAGGTGGCACAGGCCATCGGGTCCCAACCTCCTTCCCTTTTTGCCCACTCCCAGACCAAGGAGTTCATATTCTCAGAGCTGCTGGCCAACCTGTACTCATGTGGGGACCAGAATGCACTGATGGAGGAGTTGGCAGAGCAGGCATAGCAGCTTGACGAGATGCTGCGCATGCAACACATGCTGAAGGAAGCAATCTGCATCATCAGTGACATCAGCACAAACACCATCAGCATGGTCATGGGGTCCCGTGGATGATTCCTGGCTGCAGGTGCAGAGCATCCTGGCTGGGCGCAGGTACCAGGGCTGAACCCCACAGCCCCACAGCCCACCAGCCTCCATGGCTAAGCCTGGGGTCTCTTGGAACTGACTCCATGCCCAAGCTGGCAGGCATGGGTGCTTTCTGGAACTATCAGAGAGGGCAGAGAGCTCATGGTTTATGGTGTAGGGGCTGGGAACTTGGAGGGGGTTGGGTGTGTGGCTGGACTTGGAGGCGACCAGAGACCTATGAACGTCATCCTGGGCACACCTGTCGTGCAGTCTGAGTCATGCTGGCAGGGCAGGGGCATCCAGCTCCCAGCCTGGGAGTGCAGAGCAGGGGTGATAGTCAGGGTCCCACCTCCTCTATCTGTCGGCAATCCAGTGGTGATCTAGGATAAAACCTTGAGAGTCCCATACACATGGTCATCCTACAACACACCTCACAGGCCAGGCAGGGACACACAGCCCCCTTCCCTCCCTTCCAGGTACCATCATAGCTGCTAGCATGTGACTGAAGGCAGGGTCCCTGGCTCCTGCTGAAGCACTATCGCCAGCCAGCGACCTCATGCACCTTGGCCTGTTGCTCCTAGGGGTCACCTATGCTATTCAGCCAAGGGGACCACAGTGCCTGCTGGCCCAGCTGAGCTCCGCCCTGTGAGTCCACCTGCCTTCCCTGCCATGGACTTTCCCTCTTCTGCTTTTACCAGCAGGAAGGGCCCAGTCTCACCTATTGCAACCTGCAGACCCCCAACCAGCTGAGGCTCCCCTCTTAGACTTATAAGTCTATGGCCAGTGGCATCTGGCTGCCTGTTCTCCCTGCCTCCCCCAGGGTCCCTTCAGAGGGTCCTGGGCTTTCTGACCACCCAGAGGGGCCTCAAGTGCACCCTCCAGCCATCCATCCCTTTTAGCTTCACAACCCCGGTTCAAGCCGTGTTCTTTCTCTTTCAGGCCTGGTGGCTGTTGTGTGGGGTTCCCCAAGATGAGAGGCGGCCCTGGGCCAGTGGGTTAGAAGACAGGGTGACCAGAGAAGAGGGAAGCTGGAGGGGGTTGAGCATTGGTCTGAACCATGGGTGCACTGCCTGGGTGCAGTGGGAGAGGCCAGCATGTGTAGAGTGTGGAGGGCCACCACAGCCCCCAGGACCTACCTGTGAAGCTCCGGCTCCTCCCTCCATCTTCCTCCCATTTCCCTTCCAGCCCCTCTTTTCCATGAACCTTGCCACACCCACACCTGCGCCCTCCCCGCCCCATCCCTCCCACAGCTGCTGCCGCTTTGCCCCTGCTCTGCGCTTACCAGCTCTCTGCTCACTTTTCTCCCGTTTTCTCTCTGCTTTCTCTCCAACTACCAGCCAATCAGATCAGGCAAATCCGTCCCATCCTGAGAGCCTCAGGCCCCACTTCAACCTCTAAACAGATCCCTCCTCTTCCCAGAGACCTCCCTTTCCAAGCCTGCCTGGGTGGCTGTTCTGTGACTTGACGGTGGCTCCCCCAGCCCCAAAGCTAGCTCCCTTCATCTGTGACTTAGTCTGTTGTAGTGGAGAGCTGACATATCCAGCTGTGACTGTCGCTGAAAACTTGTGCCCCCTCTGTGGTGTGCCCCTGCCCTGTTCTTTAAATATCTATAAATAGGCCAGGCGCGGTGGCTTATGCCTGTAATCCCAGCACTTTGGGAGGCCGAGGCAGGCGGATCACAAGGTCAGGAGTTTGAGACCAGCCTGGCCAATATGGTGAAATCCCGTCTGTACTAAAATTACAAAAATTAGCTGGGTGTGGTGGCAGGTGCCTGTAGTCCAAGCTACTCGGCAGGCTGAGGCAGGAGAATTGCTTGAACCCGGGAGGCAGAGGTTGCAGTGAGCCAAGATCATGCCACTGCGCTCTAGCCTGGGCAACAGAGTGAAACTCCGTCTCAAAAAAAAAAGAAAGAAAAAATATAAATACTCATATGTGTATATATATATATATTTATAGATTATACACACACACACACACACACACACACACATACACCTACACCTGGCCAACTGCCTCACCTCTAGTGCAGGGAATCAGTCAGTGTGCTGTCCCTGTGGAGTCTTGTGGCCCAACAAAAGAAAGCTGTCCCCTGACATTGCCCCTCCACAGTGCGCCACCTCCAGTGAGCCTTCCTGTCATGCCCGGCCTGTGGACAGCCAGCCCCCACCATCCCTCCTGCCCCCTATCAAGCATGGGGGTGCTGTGCAGGCAGCTGTGTGGCCTGACAGTCTCTACCAGTTCTGCTGTCCCTCAGCTGAAATAAAACCCATTTCTGGATGACAGGGAATGTATCCTCTGCTGGTTGTGTTCTCTGTGGAGCTCTGGGGAGGGGAAAGTTCAAGCCACTTCTAGGGTGCTGTTGGGAGCTGTTGGGAACAGGCCCCCCACAATCTGGCCATAAACTGGCCCCAAAACTGGCCATAAACAAAATCTCTGCAGCACTGTGACATGTTCATGATGGCCATGACACCCATGCTAGAAGGTTGTGGATTTACCAGAATGAGAGCAAGGAGCACCTGGCCCACCCAGGGCGGAAAACCGCTTAAAGGCATTCCTAAACCACAAACAATAAATAGCACGAGCCATCTCTGCTTTAAGGACATGCTCCTGCTGCAGATAACTAGGCAAACCCATCCCTTTATTTCGGCCCATCCCTTTGTTTCCCGTAAGGAATACTTTTAGTTAATCTATAATCTATAAAAGCAATGCTTATGACTGGCTTGCTGTTAATAAAAACGTGGGTAAATCTCTGTTCGAGGCTCTCAGCTCTGAAGGCTGAGACCCCTGATTTCCCACTCCACACCTCAATATTTGTGTGTATGTGTCTTTAATTCCTCTAGCGCCACTGGGTTAGGGTCTCCCCAGCCGAGCTGGTCTCGGCAGGGAGTGGTGAAAAGGCCACACCTTTTCCAAGGGACACTTTTCCTGGAAAGCCCCTGGAGCTTAGGTGGCTCTTATCCTGGGAAGCTGGCTCTGGCCACTAGAGGGCAGGGCCATGAACTCAGCCTGGAGGGAGCCTGTGGGGCAGCTGGCACTCTGGAGGAACAGACAGAACAGGCCACCAGGTGCAGACAGGAGAGGGAGGCAAGGGGACGGAACGGAAGATGCCTGGGGTGGATGGAAGTCAGTGTCCTTGGATGTTGGTACTTGCCTTCCTGGTCACCACTAGATCAAGCTTCTGAGGCTGTTGGCTGTCAGGGCCGGACTGTGATCCATAGGTGTCATGGCAGTCCCTGTGAAATCCCCCAGGTGTCACCAGGCAGCTTACAGGTAACAGGCCTGGAAGGTCCCAACAGCCCAGCTGGACATGCTCAGACACTTTGGGGCTTCTCGTTCAGTGGCACAAACTCCAGGACCCAGTGAGGGAAACAGGAACACACCAGGCCAAGCAGTATGGCTAAATCCATTTATTCCAAAATAAAAAGCAAAATAAACAGGAGTCACATCACCAGGGAACCACGACCCCATCCCCACCTCCTTCCTCTGTCCTGTGCTATCAATAAATACGTTTCCTAGCCACAAATCATTATTAGAACCTCCTCCCCATATACCAGCTCCAACCTCTGCTAGGTACAATACAGGAGGTGGCCCTACACCCCAGAATATACAAAACGTTACGCAGATACAACATGTACACTGGGGAAGGGGGGCCACCCCGGCAGCCTGTGCCCTCACCTAGTCTACGGTTAGCCCCAGTGTCCTGCCTCAGCTGTGCCTCTGAATGAGAAGATGGGAGCCTGACTAAGGGAAAAGTTGCTTCGGTGAGAATAAGAAGGCCATTAGGCCTCTTCCAAACAAACCAACTCCACCAGCCTCTGGCTCTTAAATAACAATCATCATCATCCTGGCCAAGGTGGCAAAGGGTCAGTTTGTTTCCCCCATTAAACAGGGGTGTTGTCTTGCTACCCTAATGGTAAAGGGGTGACTGGGAAGGGGTGGTAAGGATGTGGTAGGGGTGGAGACTCCAGCCCCACTTCTCCAGGCTCTGCTGACAGGGGCCTGCTTTTATTTATTTTTATTGTTATTGTTATTGTTTGTTGTTGTTTTTATTGTTTATTTTTTATTTATTGTTTATTTTTTATTTCTTGTTATTGTTTATTTTTATTTTTATTGTTTTTAATCCCATAACTTCTTTTTCATAACCTTTTTTATAACTTTTCATAAGACTTTTTTCTACTTTTTGTCCATAATTTTTTTTTGCCACAACTTTTCCACAACATTTTTTATCCCATAACTTTTTCATCCCATAACATTTTCAATCCATAACTTTTTGTTAGTTTCTGTTCTTTTAATAAACACACTTGCATAGTTATATTACAATTTTGTAAAAATAAAAACAGATTATCTCATGCCAAGCGTGCCCAGCATTTGCAGTCTCAATTCCTTTAATACTATAGTTTTCAAGACACACAAAATAAAATGTTAAGGCAAAAACAGCACTTTGCAATAATTTAATAATTTATTATATTACAGTAGCATCACAGCAGCAGTCAATAATACCAATTAACGCAAACGTCTTTCAGTATTTCCATTATATATTCTGTTTACAAGAATTCATAAGTTGGTAAAAGTCATTCTAAGAAAACTTGGCAAATAAAGCTCTGGACTGGAGTTGGCATTTCTTTCTCTACCTCCAGCCCCCCACCCCCAACCCTTTTCTTTCTTTTAAACCATAGTATTCATATTTTAAAATGTTTTAACTAATTTCAAAACACTAAGATAGCAGTTACATTTTTAAATAGTTATATTATTTTAAAATGACTCTTTAAGATAAAGTTTTAGAGAAACTATGCTATGTGGATAGGGCTGATTTACATTTTCAAATTTTCTAAAAATCAGCTTTGGTTTTAGAACTGGTATTTTTCATTTCTGGAAAACCTATCAGGTTTAATCAAACACTTTAAAAATGATTTTCATATATTGCAATCTTTAAATAGGTATTTTGATTCTTCCTACAGACATTCAAATTTTTTCAGCTGAACTCACATTTTAAAATGCTATGTTTCTGATGAACTCTAACCTTCTAATGTTGCCTTCTAAGCAAATTGAAAGCTGCCTTATACTGAGTGAGGCAGAGAATACTTGATTGAATGAGGTATTGCAAAAGACTGCATGCACTTTAAAGAAAGACTTAAGTTATTGTCATATAATTTTCATTCTCTTTAGCTTTTTCTTAAATATATGACAAAATACCTACACAGAGTGGTATTTCCATTAATACAATAAATTTATTTTCCAGACTGACATCCAGCTTAAATATGCCAGTATGTGATTTAATCCATAGGTACCCGAGGAACACATTATTGTCAGATTGGTTATAGATGCTAAATGCTATCTGAGGGTCATTACCAGTTGTTTATATTTATCAGGGTAAAAGTGAAGTGATTTGAACTATAAAAATACCTTTGAAATAATTTACCGATGTATTAGATAAACCCAGTTTCAGAATTATAAAGAAAAAATGTTAGATCAAATAATGTGGCTAATTAACAGTGACACATACAATTTCTAGCCCAGGGGTTTAAAATCAACTTAAAGTAACTGTCTTTAAACTGAACTCAAAGAATGCAAAAGCAGTAAGTTCAGAAAACAAAAAGCAAGAACAGGACTTTAAGTCCATTTTAAACCCTTGGGCTAGAAATCGTACCACTGTTAATTAGCCACATTATTTGGTCTAACATTTTTTCTTTATAATTCTGAAACTGGGTTTATCTAATACATTGATAAACTTATACAATTTGGAAGAGTCAGTTGAAGTCACAAGGACCCAATATTTGCACTCTTTCAGTGAATGCAGGCAAACCTGTAATTCCATCTGTAAAATCGTATACTTGCTCTCCTATTAAGGTCATATTTATCAAAGAATCATGAGGATGCCAAATGCTAAAAATGGAGACGGTCTAGTAACTAGAAATCTCCACCCCAGGGAGCACACATACATATCTCCCTACATCCTAATAATGTGATGTATTTTGGAACACAGACATTAGAACTTCATGAAGTTTAACTGTTGATTCTTTCCCAAGCATTATGAAGTCATACATTTAGGCAATGTATAACAGAAATTCATAATGTATAGGCACACTAACATAAATATTGCACAAAATATGTCTCTAAATGAAACTGAAAGGTATAAAAACATATTTCACTCTTCGTAAAGAACTTTGTGTGGAAATATAACTCTGATTGTATAGATGCTTTTCTTGATAATACTTAGACATTCACAAACAGTAGACTTCAGTTTGTAAACATTTTAAGTTGCATAAACTTCTCCTTGATTTTCAAATATAGTATAATACTGTCTACTAAAACTCCTTTTTGTTTCAACTAAGTACTCTTGCATGTATTAGTTTATAATAATGTTCGTTATTATTTTTTAAAGTGTTTTCCATTCAAGGAAAAGAAGTAAATTCCTATGTCAGAGTCTTTAACCAATGTGATTGAAGACTAGGTATTAGCCAGAGAGGTCTAGATGGTAAAATCAATCTTCTAGCCTCAAAGAAGCTCCATGAACAGACAGGAATGCCAAGTGTCACACAGCTTTCCTTCACTCTAATTCATTCTTGACTAGAGCCTGTATGCCTGTTTCAGGGACATTTAAACTCTTAAAGGATTTCTTATAATCTTTACTGAATACCTTAAGAAGAATGCCAACCAGTGCCCTTTTGTTTCCTGGGACATGTAGTCACGTGATTGAAACAGGTAACATGAACTCTGACTTTAAAATGTATTATAGATATAGATGCTCTAAGCTTGGAAAGGTTTTCCACATCCACAGTCAATGATGGAAGCCTTTCATTTCTCAGAAATAATCCCTTTTTAGGTAATCAAAAAAGGGTACAACGGCCGCAGCTCATGATGCAATATCCTCATGAGCCCAGAGCACATACAAATCCTAAGGGAACTACCATAGTACAGCGCTCATTCTTGGCACCAGAACAACCAAAACATACTCTATTCTGCACACACCTGCCAGAGCAGGCCATTTTCCTCTTCTGTGAGATTTTAAAAGCTCCCCAAAATGTTATTACTCCCATCCCCAAGACACGGAAAATAAGGGAAGGGCTGTTTACAGTTCTTGGCCTTTAAACAACTCTAAATGTCAGTCCTCATAGTGGCATATTACAAAGTAATAAACAGTGCACGCTTGAGGGCAAACCACATATTGAGCTAATGAAGACATCACCATGATTAGAATTTGATCAAACATAATAGCAGAACATAAGCAAATTTTACCTGAATTCTGTAATGAATGTACATGCTGCAATAACATTAAAAAAGCATGGCGGCCCATTCCAAACCCAAGAATAGTTTTGTGCAAATAGTGAGTCTTTGTGTGTTTGAATTCCCACCACGTAAGGGCAAACTCAATATGCATTCTAATGACCTACAATTATCAAATTAAAAAAGAAAAATGCGAAGGGATGCCAGAGTGAACATCAGGGAAAGACCCACTCTCGTTTAATTTTTTACAAATAAATGTAAACTGTAAATTAGAAGCACAAACAATCATGAGTGGCTCTAACATTCGAATGAAGTAAATGAATTGTGTAGGAGATTAACCCCATCACTTTTTTTTCTTTTTTAATTTCTTGACCAGCTCTTAGATGATGGTGATGTTTAGCTCCCTGTTCTTGGCAGCCCGAAAAGAATGGCATGAAGGGGTTGCTGCCCAAGTCTGGGTGCTCCTGGGGGTCCTGCATCTCAGGAAGCAGCTGCATGAGCTGGGGACAACCCTCCCTGGCCACTCCTGGTGCAGGCTCCAGGCTGTCAGCTCACCTCACAAAAATCTTTGGAGAGAGGAGAGCGGGCATCTGCATGCAGTGGAGCCCCCCTGCTCCTGCCTGCCCACCCAGCCTGAGGGCTTTACTCACCCCCCTGCTTGTCAGCAGCCCCAGGCTCCGGGGGGCTTGGGCACCTGGAGTGCAATCATCAGCAGGGTTCTGGGCAGCAGCCAGGAATTTGCCACACCCCTCGTTGTGGTTGCCACCAAGTCGCAACACCAGATTCTGCAGCTCCAGCAGTTTCACCTGAAGGGAGGGGTGCTCAGCTGCACGCCGGTGCCAGTGTCCTCGCCCACGCCCACGCCTACCCCCGCAGAGATGCTGCACACCCTACCTTCATCTCCTCCTTGTCCTGGGCCAGCCTGATGATGTCCCCCTCCTGGTGCCGCATCTTTGGCACTGCCCTCTGGCTCTCATATGTTGTGATGTACTTTCCTGCAGGAGGACAGGGCTCAGATGCTGGGGCCCCTCCAATGGCCTTGCAGCTCCCCCTGCCTTCCCTGGCCTCTCACTCACTGATGGTGTCTGTTTTTCCCGCTAGGTGGACGAATCGAAGCTCTAATTTCTCCACCTGCTCCTTCACGTCCGCCTTCTCCTTCAGGAGGTCCATAAAGTCACTCTGGGGTCAAAATAATGGGGTCACATCTTGAGAGCAACCTGCTCTGCCCTGCCCCCACCCTTCTTGGCCCATGTCAGGACTCACTCACCTGCAGCTTCTCCATGGCCCCCTGCAGGGCCTGGTGGGTCTGCCCACACACAGACTCACCCTCAGTCCCTGGGGCTGGGGCCACTGCCTTGGACTCCTTCTGGGCCAAGGCCACAAGGTGAGTCAGGCACTGGCACCACACCCTTTGCTCCTTCAGCTGCCCACATAGCCGTGCCTGTTTCTCCTGGGCACTGGCTCCAGCGGAGTTGAAAAATGCCACCTGAAGGCAAGAGGTGAGTATTCTTGTAGGGGCATCTACAGAAAAAACGGGGCAGGGAGGTGGAGCGCAGCCCCTTCCCTTGGGGCCTCGGAGAGTGCACCTGTTGGTGAAATGGACAGGTGAAATGATGTCTGACCACTGGCACCCGGAAGGGGTGAGGGCCCACAAAAATCAGAAGGTGGGGAAACCAAGAGCATAAAGGGGTCTGGGAGGGACCACAGAGGAAGGTGCAAAGCAAGAGCCGGGGGAGTCAGTCTCACCATTACCTCCCGGCTCTCCAGGTCCTCCAGGATGCTCAGCATGGGCCGAGGCACCTCCTCTTCCTCATTGTCCAGATGTCCTCCTCCATCTCCTGTGGAGGGAGGACAGAGGGGTCCTCAGACAACCCGACAAGGGAGGTACTGCGAGCCCACCTCTGCCTTCACCCTCACTGTGTAACCCTGAACCAGCCCCTCCCCAGAAGGGAATGAGCTGCTATTCTTTATTTTTACTTTTAAGAACCAAGATCTTGCTATACGGCCCAGGCACAGTCCCACTACCAGTCGGTGTGGCAGTTCTGACCTGCTCCCTTTCTGACCTGGACCAGTTCACCCATCCTTAGGCAACCTGGTGGCCCCCCACTCCTAGGAGGTCACACTATTGATGCCGAACTTAGGGCAGACATCTGGTGAGCATAATGACCAGCTGTTCTAAAGGTCTCTTCCAACTCCTCAATCCTATGCTGCTAACAGTCCCCCTTTCCTTCTGGGGCTCTCTCCTCTTTCTCTGAGTGGTCTCCTGTACCTTGCCCAGGGAGTGCCATGAGGTTCAACTGGGCCTGAAGCTGCTGGTTCGGCTGGCTGGTAGCTTCCAGGTGCTCCTAAGGGGTGAGGAAAGAGAGCGAGAAGGCACGGAGGTTGCCAGGTCATCCCCCTCAAGGCCTCATCCTCAGCAGTTCCCTCTCCTGGGTCTCCTGCAACTTTCAGCGGGCCATCTCAGCCACCGCTTTGCCCTGAGCTTCATGCTGCAGCAGCTGGTCCATGAGCTGGGTCTGCAGCAGTAACTGCCTGCGCAGCGCCTCCGTCTCAGAGATCAGCTGCTGATAGGCAGCCACGTACTGCTGCAGATGACCCAGGAACTGGTCTCCCTGCTGCTGCAGACTCTGAGCCTCTTGGTTCTTCAACGTCACCTGCAGGAAGACCGTGGGCATAAGGGTACGTGGTGGCTGGCTTCCAGATTCCGGGCCCATTAATAGGGTCCTGAGGACTCTGTGGGGCTCTGTCACCCACCCAGGCCCCTGGCCCCTTGCTCCAGGCCTAAGTGACTGCCTCCCTTTCCTAGAACCCCATGCCTCCTTCGCCAGCCTCAAATCTTACACACTTCTTCCCACCATTTAACCTGTAGGCCACAGGCTGGTGGAAAAGCAGAGGGAGCCAACCACCATCTGCTAAGTGTGCTTACACGCCTAATGCTTTCCATGTATTATCTCATCTAATCCTCAGCACCTCAGCAAGGAAAATGCTAACTTCCTTTTGAAGTTAAAGGAACAGAGATTTAGAGATGTAAAGTAGTTGAATGGTGACTAGTGGAACCGAGGCCAGAATCCAGTTTGAATCTAAGGAGACTTTTTTGTTTTTGTTTTGTTTTCTTTTGAGACAGAATGTCACTCTGGCCCAGGCTGGAGTGCAGTGGTGCAATCTTAGCTCACTGCAACCTCCACTTCCTGGGCTCAAGCGATTCTCATGCCTCAGCCTCCTGCGTAGCTAGGATTACAGGCATGTGCCACCATGCCTGGCTAATCTGTGTGTGTGTGTGTGTGTGTGTGTGTGTGTGTGTGATTTTAGTAGAGATGAGGTTTTGCCATGTTGTCAGGGCTGGTCTCAAACTCCAGACCCCACGTGATTCTCCAGCCTCAGCCTCCCAGTGTTGGGATTACAGGTGTGAGCCACTGCGCCTGAAACAAGGAGCTTCTTATACCACTGACTCTCCCCCTATGATTGGGGAGCTCCATGCCTAGCTGGGATGATGATGTCCACACCTGGGAGGAGCCCAAGGCTACCCATCTCTAAAAGTCAGAGGGCAGGAAGCAAGAAACAGTCACAGGACTGCCCTGGAGGGCACTGGGGTCACCTGTCCCCAGGCTGGAGCTGCCTTTGGCCTTGCACCTCCCCTGCTCACTTCCCAGCCCTTCTTGGATGGGTCAGAGGTTACCCTCTCCTTCAGCTTGCTCAGCTTCTCCTGCAGCTCCTTTACTTGCTGCTCCAACTGCAGTGCACTCTTATTCTGGTTGTTCTGGACAGAGAGAAGCAATCAGCGGCCACCCACCGCAGCTGGAGACCCCAGAACTTGGTGTCTACCTCCCATGGCACCAGGAAGCATGGAGGCAGGTGCCTTTAGAGTTACCATTTCAAGTGAGGGCTACCCTTCCCCATTTTACAGGAGGGGAATCAAAGGCCTGGAGGGTTAGGGAGGAGGGCAGGCACCCCAGGTGGGGCAATGCACCAGCTCCTCAAAGCTGCTCTGTGGCTCAGCCAGCGGCTCATGGAGCTCTTGGTTCTGAGAGAGTGCGCAGTTGATGGTGGTGCGATTCTGAAAGGTTTGCATGCGTGTCTCTGCCTGCTCCTCCCAGAGCCTGGCTTTCTGCTCCTGCTCCAGCTCCCGCAGCCTCTCCTCCCGCTCCCGCAGCCTCTCCTCCCGCTCCACAGCCTTTCCTGTTCCAGCAGCCTCTCCTCCTGCTCCCAGTTCAGGTGACTCAAGCCTTGACTGTTTTGCACCTGAGCTTGGAGCTCTCCTGCCAGACTCTCCAGCTCCTTCCTCACGTGCTCGGCCTCAGCTTGTAGGTGCTGTTCCACCACAGAGGGCCCTGCTGGGGGCTCCGGGGGTGGGGGTTCAGCTGAGAAAGGAAGCAGACAACAAGGTCCTCTGGATTCTCAGAAACAAAACAACAAATAAAAGCCCTTCTCTTGGTGCACAACTCCTCTCAGGCTCCCCAAACTTGGCCTCACTGCTAATTATTCCTCGCACTGGGATGGCAGCCCATCTTCCAGGCCACTTTCAGATAGAGAGCCCTGTGGGTGGCTGACAATGGGCACTCCTCCCTGTTTACTGATGGGGACACTGAGGCTCATGGAGATTACAAGACTTGCCGTCTCCTGGCACAGACCTCTTTCCCTCTGCCTCAAAGCCCTTCCATCCACCCACCTCCCTGGGGCATTCTAAGCCACCCCCACAGCCCTCTGATGCCAGTCCTGCTCCCAGGCCATGACAGCCCATCTTACCCATCTAGTTTATGAGTTCGGCCAAGCTCCCCTCCAGCTCCTGTACCCGATGTGTGTCATGTTTCTTCTCCTCCTTCAATGTGCAAACCTGTCCAAAGCACAGGGGGAAAGGGTCCTGGAGAGAGGGACTGGTGGCTGGACAGGCTACCATCTCCCTCTCTGCCTCCACCTCCACAAAGCCCAGACCCATGACCGTACTGGCTGTACTATTCCCATTTTACAGATGTCTAGAAAGATCCAGTGACCTATCTAAGGTGGGGGGCTTAAGGGTCAGGCCTCACCTCCTCTGACATTTTCCATACCCTCTGCTGCCACCGGGCCCTCTCTCCTTTTAGATGTTGAGTATATTCATCTCTCTCTAGCTGGGCTTGTTTAAGTGATTCCATTATCTGCAACAATGGGCACAGAAGTTAGGAAGGGCTGTCCCTGATCCTCACCTGCTTCTGGCCACCTGGGGTCATCTTTCTTCCACATACCTCCCTGTGCGAAGCCTCACCTGTGTCGTGTGTGCTTCCAGCTGTGCCTGTGCCTTTACGGACTGCTGTAACTGCCGCTCAAGGACTGCTTCACAGCGGCTTGAGGACTGGATGGTGAAGAGTGAGAAGTTTCTGTCTGGGGAGCCCGGGCTGTTCTACCCAGTGCCCCTTAAAAGGGCTAGGGCTAGGCTCAATATACAACTTGGTCAGTAAAGGGTCAAGGCATTTCTAAGCCCACGGCCTGGTTTTTAAAAGAACTCAGGGCCGGGCGCGGTGGCTCAAGCCTGTAATCCTAGCACTTTGGGAGGCCGAGACGGGGGGATCACGAGGTCAGGAGATCGAGATCGTCCTGGCTAACACGGTGAAACCCCGTCTCTACTAAAAAATGCAAAAACCTAGCCGGCCGAGGTGGCAGGCGCCTGTAGTCCCAGCTACTCGGGAGGCTGAGGCAGGAGAATGACGTGAACGTGAACCCGGGAGGCGGAGCTTGCAGTGAGCTGAGATCCGGCCACTGCACTCCAGCCTGGGCGGCAGAGTGAGACTCCGTCTCAAAAAAAAAAAAACAAAAAAAAAGAACTCAGTACAGTTGGAAGGGACAGGGAAAAAGATTAAATTTACAGCTGGCTGACAGAGGCCCAGAGAGAACAGATAATATTGCTATTGTTATTACTGTTATTACTACCACTGTTTGAACCATTATTGAGTGCTTCACCAGGCACCATGCTAACGATCCCATTCAATCCTCACAACCACCATATGAGACAGTTACTATGATTACCTCTATTGTGTAGATGAAAAACATGGAGTATTAGAGGCTAAGTGCTTGCCTAAGATCACTTAGACAGAGCTGGGATTTGAATACCCAGATCTATCCTATTCTCTAAGCCCATTTTTTCTTGCTGGGGGTGGGGGCACAGATAGGAGGAAATTAATCTTTTGTTCACTTTTTGAAAGGATGATACATTCACATAGTCCAAAACTCAGAAGATACAGAAGGAAAGTATCTCCCAGCCACCCTGTTGCTCTCTGCTGAATTTTTTTACAAATCCTTGCAGATATGTTTTATGTATATTATCATAGTATGTACACACACACACACACACGTTCCCCCTCTCTACACAAATGGTGACATACTAAAAGTACTCTTCTGTACCTTCACAGTACAAGTACCCAATCTCCCACCTGAGACTTGGTCAAGGCCACAGCCAGGTAAGGGCAGGGTGGGCACTTGGCTTCCAAGCTGTGCGTCCAGTGCTCACTCCCACAGTGCCCCCCAACTAACCCACAGCAGCTGACTCAGCCCCAGGCTGCCTCTAACAACCACACACAAAAGCAGCAAGAAATGGCCATGCTGCCTTCTGGGCAGGATTGCATCCTGCAGCCAAGAGGGCAGTAACAGAAGAGCCGTGCTGCACACTGTGCTCTGGGGTCCCTCCAGGTGAGGCCTGGGCACACCAGCTCCCCATTTGCCCTTGGCACCAGGGGCCCCCAGGCCCTTTCTTCAGGACCCCAAGGGGAAACTGAAGCCCAGGATTGGTCGCATGGAATGAGGGGGTGCCACTGGACTCTTAACAATGACTCAGTGTTTTCCACTCACTTGACCGATTGTTGTGGAGCTTGAGTCCAGGGCTACTGCTAGTTCTTGGTACTGGTTCTGAGGTGCACGCAGAGAGGAGAAATTGGAGGAGGATTGTGGGGAGAGGTAGAGAGAACAATCATTATGGCTGGGATGTGTGTGGGCTGTGTCAACTGGCAGAGGGACACCCAGCCCCCACTGTGGGAGGAGGTTGGGGGGCTGGCCTACAGGGTCACTGCACCTTGGCCCAGGGCCTCTTACCTCCAGATCCTTCAGAGTAGCAGATGATGCAGGGGTAATAAAAATAAGAAATTAAAAAAAAAAAAACTTACATGGGAAACAGTTATGGCTATAGAGAAAGTATAAAAACAGCAAGAGGCCGGGCACAGTGGCTCATGCATGTAATCCCAGCACTATGGGAGGCTGAGGTAGGTGAATCACTTGAGGCCAGGAGTTTGAGACCAGCCTGGGCAACATGGTGAAACCCCGTGTCCACTAAAAATACAAACAAATTAACCAGGCTTTATGGTGCTTGTCTGTTATCTGAGCTACTGGGGAGACTGAGCATCACTTGAACCTGGGAGGCGGAGGCAGTAGGGAGCCAAAATTGCACCACTGCACTCCAGGAGAGAGAGTGAGACTCTATCTCAAAAACAAAAATGAAAACAAAAACAAAACAGCAAGAAGGAAATATGGGGATCTGGGCCTTTGTTTCCAGAACCTGGTCTGGGCATGGCTGCAGGATTCCTCTAGGCCTGTGCTCCCCACCGTATCATTCAGTGTCTCTTCTGAGCTGGCAAGGTGAGTCACAGCACCTGGACAGACCTGACCCACTGCGGGTAACAGGTGTGATGACTGAACAACTCTCTAACAGCAGCCAAGAGTGCTCTGTCAGTCCCCCTCCCCATGCCCATATCCAGCAGGATCGGCCTCCACTCTTGCCCTGCTCCTTTGGCTTGGCAGGAATCTCCCAGGCAAGTTAGATATGGAGGAAATGCCAAATCACAGCCAGAGGAGGTCATCTCCAAGCCCCTTGTGTCCCTATGCCCTGCCTCCCACCAGGCTCTTTGTGCTCCTGAAAGGTGCTCTGTGAATTCATAATCACAGCCATGACCTCACTGCTCCCCTGCCTCCCCCACTCCCCATATGGATGCATGTTACCCACCTTTAATCTTCCAGCCAACCTCAAATGTCACCTCCTCCACCCTTGAGTCCATTCAGAACCAACCTCCCCCTGAGCTGAGCATTTGGAATGTTCCAAACTTCTCTCTTGCCTCCTTCAGAGGAGTCTGCCTCCCTCAGTCTGTACCCTACATTGTTCAGCTATTCTCTCCACTGTTTATTTAGCAAAATGCCTTCGTTGTCAAAATCCCAGTAAATATGGTAAATGTCCATTTGATTTTCAAGAGATTAGGGTCTTGGTCACTCATCTGTTTGGTTAACCTCACATCTTTTACAGTTAATTCCTCTGAAAAATTAGCTTCAACCCTTCCAACTATAATGTGAACTCATTTTCTCTTAACCCTATGTTCCCTACTCTTAAACCAAAGTGAGTTAATGCAAAATAAGCACAAATGTTTATGTGGTCTGTAGATCCTTGCCTTTAGGGCAAAACCTAAAGGTTGTTGTTGTTGTTGTTGTTGCTTCATCTCTCTTAGTCTAAGAGTACCACACTGGGCATTCAAAAGCCCAAGTCCCAGGCTGGGCATGATGGCTCACGCCTGTAATCCCAGCACTTTGGGAGGTGGGGGCAGGTGGATCACTTGAAGTCAGGAGTTCAAGACCAGCCTGGCCAACATGGTGAAACCCTTTAGTAGAGGTGAAACCCTCTACTAAAAATACAAAGATTGGTCGGGCATGGTGGCAGGTGCCTGTAATCCCAGCTACTCAGGAGGCTTGCCTTAGTCTGAGAATCACTTGAACCTGGGAGGCAGAGTTTGCAGTAAGCTGAGATCACACCACTACACTCCAGTTTGGGTGAGAGAATGAGACCCTGTCTCAAAAAAAGCCACAAATCCCACATGCCTGCTCTGTACATTATTCCCAAATTACTTTTAAACTTTAAGGTATATCTCACCTTCTCCAAGATGGTAAAAGATGCAGGGAAGGAAAAAACCTCAATTGAACAGGTGAAGAAGCAGACATAAACAGGCTGAAGGTTAACGGCAGCAACATAAAATAAACCAAAGTATCTCCCAAAGCAGAGAAGCCTCAGGGGCATGCACAGCTGGAGAGAACAAGCCAGAGAGGCGTCTCAGCACTGCTTCACCTTGCATTTGTCCAATGGGAGAGCGCTACCCCATTGGAATGGTTAAGGTTGAACACCAGCATCTTCAGAATGTCCTGAATCTACAGGAGGCAAAAAGGGGAAAACAAGGGCGGGGGAGAAAGACAGAAGTGGCTTAGAGAGAAGCAAGAAAGTCAGGGAAGGAGGAAAATGTGGGTTCAGGGAAACGAATGGCCGAAGAAGAGCCGAGATCAAAACCACAGCCTGTGCCATTCTTCCAAACGGCCACCCGCTGCCTTGCCGGGGCAGGAACAAATGGATAGAAGAGTCTCCTGAGCAATGCAGTCAGAGTGGAGTCACCTGACCAATGCAGCTCTTAATCTGCTCACTAGACCCCTCTCCTCAGGCCCAGGACCTGGGCGATGAATCTAGTAGAGCTCCACACCACCACCTGCATTAAAAAAAACAGACTTCTGAGTAAAGGGTTCACTTGAACAAAGGGGGTTCCAGCTAAAAAACAAGATTTAAAGACACTGATCTTATCCAGTATCTTCTTACAGAGGAGGAAACTGAGGCCCAGGGGAAGAAGTGATTATCTTTCTATGGTCACCCAGCAATCTGGTGGTAAGTTAGATCTTCTTTTAATTCTAGTGCCTGGGGCCCTCCTTACCACATCCTGGGACCCTTTCCGTGACTTCTAAAGGGACAGCCTGATGGCAAGTGGCTGTTCTCATTGGCCTGGCTGACCCTTGAGACTGGGGATGAGAAAAATCAAACAACAACAGCAACCATTTCCTGGCTATCCTGGGTGTTTACAGCAGGCCATGTACTAGGGATTAACATAAAAACAACAGCAATTACAAATCTCATTCACACTTCACAAATGGAAGTCAAGCAACACCATTCTATTTTACAGATGTGAAAAGAGAGGCCCAAAGAGCTCAAGCAACTTGCCCTAAATCATATCCCTAGCAGATGGAGAGGCAGGATTCAAACCCAGAATTCTTAATCAGTACCCAGCAGTTCTTCCACAGTCTTAACAATTACCCTCTACTGCCCCTTGGGCCCACTATCCCCAGGAGCCTGGCCAGCCAAGACTCATATCCCCAGGTGAGTGGCAACCACCAGAAGTGGTTGTCTCAGAGCTACTGCGATTTTTTTTTCTTTTTTCTCTTCACTCCTGCTGGAACACCAGGGCTGTTCCTCTGCTGATATTCTTTTAACTGTGGGAAAGAAGAGCAGTAACACTCACGAGAACTACAAGCCCCTACGGTCACATCCTCCTTTACAGTTTTTACAAAATAATCTTATACACCATCTGATTTAATGCCACCAACAACTGTACAAAGTGTTGCCACAATCACTTCGTGATTGATAGGGATTGATATCATGGCTTAAAAAAAAAAAAAAAAAAAAAGGGCAATACTGGAACTTAAACTCAGTCTTCTGACTCCAAGCTCTGGGGTTTTGCCATGAATCAGCAGCTGCCAGGGACCAAAACCAGAGGTAGAGGTAGAAAAGTAAACATTAAGTGGGCAGGGACTCTACACTCCGTGGTTTAGAGTCATATATCCTCACACGGCTGTTAGTGTTAAGAAGTGCACCAGTACCTCTCAAACTTTTATATCAATGTGTCCTCATGGCAGAAGGCAGCCTTTCTGATAAATCTAGGAATTTATCAGAAAGAGAACAACCTAAGCCTCATTTCAGAGAGGTCTGGTATACTCTTAGAAACCTATGTGACTGTCATCCGTAAGTACACTAATGTTTTTTTCTCTCTCAAGAGAATCAAGGGAAACTGATGCTTCAGAAAGATGTCCTACATTTATCCTGTGGCACTCAAAGCATCCCAGGTTGAGATGATATGAGGAAGATTCAAGCTGTCAAGTTCAGTTTCTCAAGATCTGTTACACAGAAGATGAGCAGATCTCACTCCAGAGACCACTGACTGAAGGGCAATCTGGTCCCAGAACCATGGAGAATTAGAATATGAGGTGGAAAACTCAGAAAAAATTATAAAATCTCTCTGGAGAGTAGAAGCTTGGGAGAAAACCAAACCAAACCTGTCCTCCTGTTGCCACCCAGAGACACTGTTAACGTTTTGAGTTCATGGAGGAAGTGTAGGCTTTTCACACTGTCAATGTCTATGTTAAGGGAGTAAGGCAGCCTGAAAACTCTTGCTCCCAGTCCCATAGTCCCCATTGCCCTTCCAGCTGGAAATCTGTGCTGCAACCAGAGGAACCAGAAATGGGGTGAGAACGCTGGGTCCTAAGATCAAAGGCTGGTCTTGGAGCAGTAATGACAGTTCCTAGGGGCACTGTGACATCACTACATTCCATTCCTCCCGAGGAGGAGGAGAACACATCAGCATGATGGCTGAGTCACCACTCCATGATGTGGGAGGGGAATGCAGGGCTGGGACCCAGGTCCTTGGAGATGCCAGCCCAAAGAGCCCAGGGAAGTTGGGCTTGGGGCAGCAGAAGGCAGAGTCTGTAGCAGGAAGCCCTAGGAGTCACCAGCCCAACGTCACTCAGAGTGACTGATGAGGGCAGAGGCTTGGGCAGGGGACCCAAGGCCTTGGAGATGTGAGCCCAAAGAACCCAGGGAGGTCAGGCTTGGGGCAGCAGCAGGTGAGGGCCGAGTATGGACCAGGCAGCTCCAGGAGTCACCCGCCCAAAGTCACCCTGGGGTGACTGGCGAGGGCAGGGGCTGGGCTGCTTGCTGAAGGGGTAGGGCTGACTGACAAGACTTTGGTTGGGGAACCCCAAAGGTGCTGGGGTTGGCGGCGCCAAGCCTGGTGTGCCTCAGGAGTTGTATGGTTTTGGTAGTGGTTTTGCCATCGGAGGGGATTTGTAGCTGGGTTGGGGAGCCATGACCTGGTGTGTTTTACCTTTTTCTTGGCCGTGGCCTGTTTACTTTGTCAAGTTTCTTCCAACATCGTGGGGTGGGGAGGGAGGCAGTGTGGGGCCACATCAGTGAAATCCCGGCAATGACCACAAAATACCTCCCATCACCTACCAGGCAGCTGTGCGACTGAGCCAGAGGAGGTGTAACCAGGGCACCACTAGAACT